CTCCTCCTCCTCCTCCTCCTCCTCCTCCTCCTCCTCCTCCCCCTCCTCCTCCCCCTCCTGCTCCTGAGAATCCCTGAGGTCTGGCGACTCTGGAGGATGTCTCGACCGCCTCGGCCGTCTCCGAGCATCCTGGAGTGCTCTGGAACGTGTGCATCCTCGCCCTGGCACCGTCCGACTAGAGGCCGGATCTGCGCCACGAGAATAGATACACAGACGCCCCCAGACTTGCGGTTCTCCCCGCCACTCGGGTCGACAGCTGGAGCAGCATGAGAGAGCACACGGCACACAACGCGACGGCGGCAGTGCGGGGCACGAGCAAGAGCTCGGAGCGGGCTTCTGCGGGCCAAGCAACAATCTCGAAGGGAAACGCCCTTCGACTGGTGTTGTACGTGCCTTCAGGGAGGGCGGCGGTGTAGCAAGTCGCTGGCTCTCGGTGGTGAGTTATACACCGCCAACCTCCGCTGAGGCCGAGGAGCAGTCAATCAGAGGGCGCCTGTGTATGATACTTGCGCGGTGGGTGGAGGCCGGACCTGACAAAGTCTACTCGGCGGCGAGCCCAGGGGGGGGGAGCTCGGAAGGCGCGACCAGGGAGTGTCGGGGAAGAGGCGGAAGGTTTTTTTCTTCCGGTGTTGGCGTCCCTTCTCGGCGGAACGAGCTGCGGCGCCCGGATCTCGGGGCGCTCGCGGCGAGGCCCCCTATAGAGCACAGCCTCGGCGAACCACAAACTCTGCTGGAGGTCCGCGCGGATTCCTTGGAACATGCGGGGAACCCCCGCTCCCTTCCCTGGCGCCGCGGCGCGCGCCGGGGGGCGGCGCGGAGGCGCCGCTGGGGATGCCCAGCGCCGAATCAGGAGAGATCCGCGCGGAGCTCTAGACCTCTCTGTGTGCAGCTTGCGCTGCTTCGAGAGACTGGCAACGATAGGAGGGGGGGGGGACTGGCACACTGGGGGGGACGCATCAACCTGGCATCGGCAATGCATCGCCGATGCATCCGCGACGGGCCCCCAGTGGCAAATACGCACGCTCCTGGGCAGGTGGGGGCTATGGGGCCCCCGTCGGCGATCAATGGGCGATTCGGGGTCGATGCAGCCACCCCTGTGCCTATCTCCCCCTGTACCGTGGCCCCCGAGACTCAGGGGAGGCGCGAGAGGAGCGCAGCAGCAAAGAGGCCTGGCCACGCTCCCGTGGGAGCTGGGGCGAGGGAGCTGGGATGGAGGGTTTCTCCGAAGGGCTTAGGCGACCCGTCCTCCTCCTCCTCCTCCTCCTCAGCCTCCTCCTCCTCCTCCTCCTCCTCAGCCTCCTCCTCCTCCTCCTCCTCCTCCTCCTCACCCTCCTCCTCCTCCTCGGGTCGCCTTCGGCCCCGGGGGAAACCGTCCAAGCTGGAAACGAGAACACGCCCGCGAGCTCGGCGCGGCCCACAGACACCGGACGATGTGCCTCTCTCAGTGCGCCGGGCCTCGACCGCTTCTGACAGAGCCCTCCCAGATGGGTCCGAGCAGCTGAGGTCGCAGGATCGCGCCGCCGACGCGTCGCGGGTGCATCGGCGACGCTCCGGCGACGTCGGCATTGCATCGGCGACGTGGGCGTGGAGAAAATCGGGCACCGCATCTTGAGCCGTATCGGCGATGCGGCGCGATCCTCCGACCCCATCTCTACCTCCAACCCCATCCGAGAGGCCCAGATCCTTGGCGGGGTGGTTCTTCCCCCAGTCCGCCTGTCTGCCTGTAATGGCCTTTTGGCCCGATCGCGTGCCCCTGCAGACGCGAGCGTGGGAAGGCGCCGCGAGTGAAGGCATCAGATCGTTGGAGGCCTGCGCGTTCAGGCCACAGGTCGTGCCACTGGCGGCCGCCAGGGACCAGCGAGGGCTCGGGGCAGCGGCTGCGGACTGCGACGGAGGCAAGCGGGAGTGGGCCCTCACGGACGTGGGGCCGGGACCCCGGAGCCTCCCCCCGGGGCCAGTTCTTCATCCTCAGGTATTGTCTGACAGTCCCGGGGCCCGTGGAGTGCATCGGGGAAAGCCAAAAACGGCGAACAACCCCAGGATCCGTTTCCCTCAGGACCCGTTGCCGTCGTGGGGCGAAACTGTTGAGGAACCGAACTCTGTACACCGACGCTTTTTTTCTCGCCCTGCACTGACACATGCAAACAGGAAAGCAGATCCTGGTGTGTATCTAACGAGATCCTGGTGTATGATGTTTCGCCGTTGCCTGGGAAACGGACAGCACAAGTATACACCACACCACCCCGGCGACGTCCCCGACCCTCAAAAGTCTGGAGATTGAGAGACACCCAGACCCCCGACGTAATGATTTTTTCATTACGTCGACCCCCAGAGGTCCCGACCCTTTCCCCATGACCGGCTTTGCATCCTGAGTCGTTTTTTGACGGTCCCGAGGGCCGGTGAGGGCCCGAGGAGGCCGAAGATTAGGAAAAACCTCCCGTCGTGATTTTTTCATTACTCGAGGGGGTCTGGGCACCCCGCCACTGGTAATGTAGTTGCTCCAATGTCCGAAAAAATATTGCATCGTCGGACATCGTCGGAGCCTGCAGCTCGGCGGCCACAATCACCCTGCATGCACATGAATTGGCGGCGCGCACAGGGGGGTCCCAGACCCCCTCGAGTAATGAAAAAATCACGACGGGAGGTTTTTCCTACTTTTCGGCCTCTGGGGGCCCTCACCGGGCCTCGGGAGCGTCAAAAAACGACTCAGGATGCAAAGCCGTTCATGGGGAAAGGGTCGGGACCTCTGGGGGTCGACGTAATGAAAAAATCATTAAGTCGGGGGTCTGGGTTGGCGGCGCGCACAGGGGGGTGGAGGGAGGGGGGACGGCTTCTTGGAAAGAGGCTGCTTCTCAGAAGGCGCCGGCCTTACATCTGTAGGCAAGGCCCGCGCCTTCTGAGAAGCAGGGGTGCTTCCGAGGAGCCCTCCCCCCTCCCCTGCTGAGCATCGTTGAACCAATCCCCATGCCAAGCGGCGTGGCCTGGGCCCCACTGGCCGATGTACCCCCCTAGATGGGGACATGGGCCGTTCCATTCGGGCTTCGAGGGGTGTATCCCCAAGTGGGGTGGTAATTTGGTGGGGGTCTCGAAGGGGATGGGGACCCAGAGCTCCGCGTCGTGATTTTTTCAATGCGGGGTCCCCGGAAGTCTCGACCCATTCCCCAGGACCGGCTTTTCATCCTGAGTCGTTTTTGGCCGGTCCCGAGGCCCGGCGAGGGCCCCTCGGGGCCAAAATCTGCGAAAAACCTCCGTCTTGACTTTTGTCAATACTTTTGATCTCTGGGGATGGGGATCGGTGCAACGCTGCCAAGCTCGGCGGCTACCATCGCCCTGCGCGCGCCCGGAGGCGGCGCGGGCCGGGGAGCCGGCGCCGCGGCCCGCGTGCGTGCCGCGCGCTCTCCCACGGGGAATGCCCCCGGGGGGCGGCGTGCGCGCGTTCAGCGCGGGTACTCCCGGAGGTGGATGCCCGTGGGGTACACCGAGTCGTACCTCGGCGGGGCGCCGGCTGCGGCGCTCCAGGAGAAGATTCTGCATTTCCCTCCGCCTCCATCTTCCATACCCTCCGACCTCCGCGGATGGCACGGCAGGTGATGCATTGAAACTATAGTGAAAGCGTCGGGAAGCGCACGAGAACTCAGCATCTCCCGAAGCGCAAGAGGGTGGAAGGTCAGCACGGAAGGTCTGGAAGAATGAGGGCGAGGGTTCTCGAGGGACCTGGTCTGTCCCCGTCGCAGTCCCGTCCGCGTCGGATCCCGTGTCGAATCCACGTCGGCATCGTCGGATCCGCGTCGAATCCGCGTCGACTCCTCGCCGAGGCCGCGCCACATCCGCGTCGAGTCCGCATCGGGCCCGCGTCGGGCACGAGAGAAGAAACCAACTTTGGGGAATGGCGACCCAGAGATCCGCGTCGTGATCTTTTCAATACGGGGTCCGCGGAGGTCTCGACCCATTCCCCAGGACCGGCTTTTCATCCTGAGTCGTCTTTTGACGGTCCCGAGGCCCGGCGAGGGCCCCTAGGGGGGGCCAAAATCTGCGAAACACCTCCGTATTGACTTTTTCAATACTTTGGATCTCTGGGGAGGTCACCCAACGATGCAGCGCAACAACTGCGGCGTGCCAGGAAGGGCAGCGCCTCCGGGGGCTCACACGGCCGGCACAACTTCGCCTGGCGTGCCGCGGCGGCGGCCCCGGCGACACGCTTGGCCGTGCGAGCGAGGCTGTCGTGTCGCTCCGCTCCGCGGGGCGGAAGGCTGGAAAAAACTCTGGACATCCCTATAGCCGCACAGCCCTATAGCCCTGAGAAGATTATGACTGGGGCTCTTCTCCGGCATCCGTTCCCCTCCCCCGGAGGCCGAACACGGCCAACAACCTCGCGTCGTCACTCTTTCGCGACGCGAGCACGTCGGTGCTCGCAAGGCGGCTGAGTACACGCCCACCCCCCCCGCTCGCCGCCGACCACCGTGCAGGACCGCGCGCGTGGCGCGCCGAGGCCGGCGCCACCGCCCCAGGCGGCGGTCGGGCCCTCTGCCGGGACCGCAGGGGGGCGCTCCCGGCGGGGCTTGGAGGGTTGGGCCCTGACGGGCGGGTCGGGCCGAGCGGACGGCTCGGCGGCGCTCAAGCAGAAGGCGCCCAATCCACTTGGAAACCTGGAAAGAATTTTGGGGAAAATCGATTCTGTCGTCGATCCCCTATTCGAGCGATGCGCACCTGCCAGCCGGAAGAAGTGTCACTCCACCGGCCTTGCAGACGTGCTGCAGCGGATTCTAGCGTGGGATTCTGTCCATGCAGACCCCCGAAACGGCGAGCGAAAAACGAAGTCAATTTCACATGGTTTCGTTGTAGTCTTCATCCCTGGCCGTGTAACATCCGCACAAAATCCACTTGGAAATCTGAAAGAAATTATCCAAGACAATCCGGGCCCACCTCATTGTCTTCCGAGCGAAATCCGCTCTGCGATGTCGGCGCCACGAGAAGCAGATAGAAGCATGAAGCAGGCAAGCAGATCAAGCAGATCGGGTGCGGGCCAGCCCCAAGAGTCGCAAAACACAGCAAAAGCATGTTCTGGATTCTCATCGGGGATGGACAGACCCCCCTTTAGTAAAACGTGGTTTAGTGAAAACGACCTGAGGCCCAAACCTGGCGGGCGCAAGCCTGCAAAATAACGGCCACGGCGCCATCTCGAGAACCGAAAACGGACAATTCACTAATCGACGTGTCACTGTTGGGGGTTCTGTCCACCCCCGATCTCACAATAGGACGGCGCTCAAGCAGCAGGGGATCTGGGAATGTCAGCCGACATGCTTGCTTTTTCGACGACCGGCGTGCAGTGCAAGGCATGCTGCGCAATCGAGCTGGCGCGCGAGAGCCCCAGCGGGCGGGCTGGGCGGGCGGGGGGACAATTACGGGCGGGTCGGGCCGAGCAGACGGTTCGAGTGGGCGATCGACTACAGAATGCACGTGCCCCAGACTTGCTGTGCTCGTGGAGCCCACGAGAGATATAAATGCGTCGAGCACAGTCCGTAGATCTGCGGGGCATTCTGCGTGTGGATCGTAGGTTCGCTGGGGCATGAATTTTGAGGTAAATCGATTCTGTAGTCGATCCCCTATTCGAGCGATGCGTACCTGCCAGGAGGTTGTAAAGCACGATGCGTCATCGAGCTGGCACGCGCGAGTCCCAGCGGGCGGGCTGGGCGGGCGGGGGGACGATTACGAGCGCGTCGGGCCGAGCGGACGGTTGAAGCGGGCTGAGTGGGCTGGGCGGGCGGGCGGGTCATGGCGGGAGAGGCAGGGCGGGCCAGGAGGCTGCAGAGCACGAGGCGTCATCGAGCTGGCACGCGAGAACCCCAGCGGCGCGGGCCCGCACGCGGTCGAGCCCAGCGTTCAGTCGGGCCTGTCCCCCTTCAGGCCGATTTTGGACGAAAAATCTCACCAGCCCTTAAGGGCGTAGGTGGTCTAGAGCGTTTCCTCTGCCAACCCCCTTCTTTCCCTTCGGCGAGGGGTTTACCCCTCCCCTTACCCCTCCCCACCGACCTGGACGAAGGGTTCTGCGGGTCGTTGGGACGCCCAAGATGGCCCAAAACGGCTCCGATAGCGAAAAAACGAGAAAAAAAACAAAACATAGATTTTCTTTTGGTTTGGGGGGGGATGTTGGCCTCTTGGGGGGGCCCAAGAGGCCATTCGAGGCACTCTAGAGGGGCAAGGCTAATATACGACCCCCCCTTCGTTGATAAAGTTCCTCCAAGATGGCTCCTAGAGCGCCCCGAAGGCTCCCAAGAGCGCCCCAAGAGCGCCCCAAGAGGGCCCCAAGAGGCCCCAAGAGGCCTTCAAGAAGCTCCCAAGAGACCCCCAAGAGGCCCCAAGAGACGGCTCCAAGAGCGAAAAAGCGAAAAACAAAAACACAAAACATTGACTTTCCTTAGGTTTGGGAAGGAGTTTGGCGTCTTGGGGGGGGGGCCAAGAGGCGAGTCGAGGCACTCTAGAGGGGCAGCGCTAATATACGACCTCCTCTTCTTCGATCGATTTCCTCCAAGATGGCCCCAAGATCAACCCGAAGGCTCCCAAGAGCGCCCCAAGAGCGCCCCAAGAGGGCCCCAAGAGGCCCCAAGGGGCCCCCAAGAGGCCTCCAAGAGGCCCCCAAGATACCCCCAATAGGCCCCAAGAGGCTCCCAAGATGGCCCAAGACGGCTCCAAGAGCGAAAAAACGAAAAAGCACAACACATTGATATTCTTTTTTGTGTTGGAAAGATTTTGGCCTCAAGCAGGGCCTCAGAGGCGATTCGAGGAACTGTAGAGGGGCAGCGCTAATATACGACCCCCCCTTCTTTGATAGATCCCTGAAGGCTCCCAAGAGCGCGCCAAGAGCGCCCCAAGAGGGCCCCAAGAGGCCCCAAGAGGCCCCTAAGAGGCCACCAAGAGGCCCCAAGAGACCCCCAAGAGGCCACAAGAGGCTCCCCGATATACGCAAGAGGCCCAGGGGACCGCCAAGAGGCTCCAAAGACGGCCCAAGATGCCCCCAAGCTCGCCATTGTCCTCCTCCGCCTCCTCTTGTTCTTCCTCCTCCCTCCTCCCCCTCCCTCCTCCTCCTCCTCCTCCTCCTCCTCCTCCTCCTTCTCCTGTTCCTCCTTCTCGTCCTCCTCGTCCTCCTCGTCCTCGCAGTCCTCCATCTCCTCCTCCTCATCTTCCTCCTCCTCCTCCTCCTCCTGCTCCTGCTCCTCCTCCTGCGCCCCCTCTTCCTCCTCCCACTCCGACGACGACGGCTCCTCCTACATCCTCCCCCTCTTGGGGCATATGGCGGCTCACCCCGCCCTTTGTTCTTCTGCATGCTCCCCCGCCTCCCTCATAACCTCCACTCCCCTGGGACTCATTTCTGGACGCGTCTAGAATAGACAAATAAGCCAAACATGCCCTAAACATGCTCAAAGATGGTCAAAAAATAGTCCCCAGACTATGTTTTGACTATTTTTGTTTTTCCCCCCTGTAGAGGGAGAGGCCCGACTTCAGCCCAGCGAGACCACTGGTCGGAGCTCCCCAGACATGCCCGCGTCGTGAGCAAAACAAAGGGCGCGAAGCTTCTCTCCGTTGTCCGCCCCTGGGGGCCCTCACAAGGCCCCAGGACTGTCAGCAAAACCACTCAGGATGAGCGACCTGCCCCCGAGAAAAGGTCGGGATTTCCCCGGGACCCCGTGCTGAAAACATCAGGCCGTCGCATGCCTGGTCCTCAAGGGGCCACCACTATACATGCCAGGGGTGTGCCGACATGCTACAGGGCAGTTTTTAAAACATTGGACGTTGAAACATCTGGGATTTTTAATCCATGATTAATGAATGAGCAAATTTATGTACGAACTCATCGTTGTTTTTGATACTACATCCCTGCATTTCTTAAGTACATGATCCGCACGCGGAGCATGTATTAAACACGGCGCTGAAAATACGTTCCCTGGACTGCGCGCTGGCGACGTGTGTGGTCGTCCCCCCCGTGGGAATCGATCCTGACACTCGCACGACTCCTCAGCCCGGGATTTGCGGTGCGTCTGCGCCGCTCTGACACTGGCGAGTACTCGAGCACTGACCAAACAAAAAGGCGCCATGCGCGCTGGCCCGCGCTCGGCCGCGCCCACGGAGACCGCGAGTGGAGCTCCCCAACGGGGCCACGATCCCCATGAGGGGTGCGCCGGAACTGGCATGCGGAGATCAGAGGCACAGGAGAGGAGGGAGAGGCGGGAAGAAGGGGTGGGAGCGGGTGGGAAGAAAACGCGAGGCGCTGCGGACCCAAAACGCGGACCCAACAACTCAGGGGGGGCGGGAAGGGTGCGGCAAGGACTCTCCCGACCCAACTCGTCACGCGCGCCCTCTCGGCCTGGATGGCTCCGCGAGGCCCCTCGGGTCTGAAACGGAGCAAGAAGTTCACGTCGTGCGTCTTTCGCGCCACCAGCACCGCCCCTGGCGCGCTCCGCGCGCCGGGGAGGGGGGTACGGCGCGGATCCAAGAAATCCGCGCGGAGCGTCGATTCTTCATCGATCGATTTTTTCTTCTTCGATTCCTCGGCTTCGGTTCTGATTACTATTACTAAAGGGATTTACGACGAAAAATAAAAAATACTAAAAACATGCTCCAACATTGTTATCAACAAGTACGGAAAAATTGTCCACATTGCATTTTTCGACTATTTTTGGATATTCCCCCTGTAGAAAGACAGGCCTGACCTAAAGCAAGCACGTGTGCGTGGGCAGACATCCCACCCGCCATCTGGGCGAACGTGCTCTCACGGGCTCTTGCTATCCTCGGGGGCGCGCAAGCATGGATTAGCGATCCGTGGGTTTGGCGCGCGGTCGCCAAATCCACGGATCGGGGGAGGTGCCCTCCCCAAAAGGCGCCCGGTGCCGCCTCCCTCGGCGGCGGAACTCAGCGATTTCCCATGGAAGCGAGACCCGTCGCTAATCCAGGCCCCCCTGATCCATGTTTGCGATCGCCTGACATCCCTTTCCGCAAACCCTCTTCCCTTCGGGGGGTGCCCTCCCCCTCCCCTCCCTACGGTTTTTTTGTGTGGGGGGGGGGCGGGCCGCGACTGGTCAGAGCGCCCAAGATGGCCCAAGAAAGCTCATGGAGGGCCTCCTATGCTACAACATGACTTCCAAGGCGGCTCAAAATAGCCCAAGATGGTTCAACTGTGCTTCCGACATAGCTCACAGAGGCCCGACAAGAGCCACAAGGCGGACCCGAGTGATCTCGCAGCCCCCTTGGGAGCCTCCCAAGACGTCGAAACCACTAGAAAAACAAAGGGAACAACAATTAGTTATGCCTTCTCGCTTTTTTTCTTTCGATGCGCTTGTGAGGACTGAAGATGGCCCTAAGGACGGCCCCAAGATCGCCCCAGTAGGGCCCCAAGACGGCCTCGAAGGGACGATTTCGAGGGCCCCAGACCGCGGGGGGAGGCCAAACGTCAGGACCCTCTTCTTTTCACCGATGCCCTCCACGATAGCCCCAAGAGGCCCTCCAGGGCTCCCAAGGCGCCACCAAGAGGGCCCCAAGAGGGCCCCAAGACACTCCAAAAGAGCCTCAAGAGGACCCAAAGATCCCCCCCAGAGGGCTCCAGGACGGTTCCAAGAGGCGAGTTTGAGGGCTGTCCTCGTCCTCGTTGTCCTCCTCCTTCTCCTCCTTCTCGTCCTCGTCCTTGTTCTCATCGTCTTCCGTTTCCTTTTCCTCCTCTTTCTCGTCGTGGTCGTGGTCGTGGTCGTGGTCGTGGTCGTGGTCGTGGTCGTGGACGTCGACGTCGTCGTTGTCGTCGCCGTCGTCGTCGTCGTCGTTGTTGTTCTTGTTGCTGTTGCTGTTGCTGTTGCTGTTGTTGTTGTTGTTGTTGTTGGTGGTGTTGTTGTTGTCGTCTTCCTCCTCCTCCTCCTCCTCCTCCTCCTCCTCCTCCTCCTCCTCCTCATCCTCATTCTCCTCTGCCTCGCCCCCACGCGATCCCCCCAGGGATGGCCCGAAGAGGCCCTCCAAGGCCACTCGCTTGCTCCAGAGATCTCTCTGCTTACCCTGCTCGTACGCTTTGCTTCAATATCTTTGTCTCTTCGGCCCCTCTCCCGTCAGCTCTCATGGGCAGGGATTCTGGATGGGCTGGTCGGTGCTGCTCGCAGGGACCAGGGCGGGGCACACCAGGAATTTTGAGCAGGGACCGACCGTCCGGGCATTCCTATAGTCCTACCAAGAACAAAAACCACGTTCTTAGAACATACGCCCGATGTGATCAAACAATACAGACTCCGCCGGAAATGTCCTGAGAACGTTCCGTGGGAACTACAACATGTGCCCAGAACATTGTTTGGTAGGACTACAGGCGAGCCAGGACGCTTCGCCACTGCTTGCGAGTTGGGGCCCGGGGAGGAGGAGGAGGAGGAGGAGGCGGAGGAGGAGGAGGAGGAGGAAGAGGAGGGGGAGGAGGAGGAGGAGGAGGAGGAGGAGGAGGAGGAGGAGAGGAGGAGGAGGAGGAGGAGGGGGATGGAGGAGGAGGAGGAGGAGGAGGAGGAGAAGGAGGAGGCGGAGGAGGAGGAGAAGGAGGAGGAGGTGGAGGAGGAGGAGGAGGAGGAGGGGGAAGAGGTGCCCTCTGGGACCCGCCGGCTTCCGCCGAGCTTCCGCCGGCGGCGGCGGCGGCCTCGTTCTGCTTCCGCCGCCCCTCCGCCGCGGCAGAGCCGGCAGCCCCTCGGAGCCTCGAAGGCACGGGCCCCTTCTTGGAGCGCCGCGCACCGGCGAGCGCTGCCGGAGGTCCGCTCGGGGCTTTCTCGGCTCGGCGCTGGGCTCCCCCCTTCCTGGCGTTCAGTCGGGCCTGTCCCCCTACAGGTGGATTGTCGACGAAGAATGAAAAATACCCCAAAAGAATCAAAAAATAATCCCAAAATAGTCCGGGGACCATTTCTGCAATATTTGTTCACTTTTTGGGGGCATTTGTGGGGTGTGTTTTGCATTTCTCGCCGAGTATCCCCCTGTATGGGGGACACGCCCGACATAAGCCTGGCGGCGCCCTCCTGGCGCGCGCACGGGCGGCCCCCGGCGAGGTGGGCCCAGCGCCGACCAGGGGGCTCCGCGCGGGCCTCCGCAGGCTCCTGGCTGCCAGCGCCCTGCCTCGCCAAAGGGGCTGTGTCGACCCCTGCCCCCAGGGCCTCGGGGGGTCCTCGACTGGATCCTCCTCCTCCTCCTCCTCCTCCTCCTCCTCCTCCTCCTCCTCCTCCTCCCCCCTCTCTCCCCCTCCCTCCTCCTCCTCCTCCTCCTCCTCTTCCTCCTCCTCCCCTCCTCCTGCTCTCCTCCTCCTCTCCTCCTCCTCCTCCTCCTCCTCCTCCTCCTCTCTCCTCCTCCTCCTCCCCCCCTCCCCCTCCCTCCTCCTCCTCCTCCTCCCCTCCTCCTCCTCCTCCTCCTCCTCCCCCCCTCCCCCTCCTCCTCCTCCTCCCCCTTCTCCGCCTCCTCCTCCTCCTCCTCCTCCTCCTCCTCCTCCTCCTCCTCCTCCTCCTCCTCCTCCTCCTCCTCCCGACTGGACCGAGCACTTGAGGCCCTTTTGTGCAAGCTCCCTCTGTGAGGCACACGCTGTCGAAGGGCCGCGCTCGGACACTCCTTGGTTTGGACGCCCGAAATGGGTACGGAAAACATGGGCACCATGCTCAACAACAAATGTTGTCCCAAAACAACAGCGGCCGCTGTTGGGCAGGCGGCCTTCTGTCTCAAATAGACACAGGCCGCGGCGGCGCGGACAGCGAGTCCAATCTAAATGAACAGGAGCTGCTGTTGGGCATTGTACACATTCTTTCCGTACCCATTTCGTTCGTGCCGACTCGGACTTCCCTTGGGTTAAGTCGGGCCTGTCCCCCTACAGGCGGATTTTGGGCGAAAAATTGAAAATACACCAAACATACCCCTACACTGCCCCAAAATACTCAAAACATAGTCCCCAGAGTATTTTTTGATTATTTGGGAGCATCCCTCCTGTAGAGGGACAGGCCCGACTTAACCCTCGGGGCTCGGCTCCGGACTCCCCCCCCTCTCCGGGCGGCGCCGCGTCGCGCGCCCCTGTGTGGGCCAGGCGAGGCGGGCGCCCGGCGCCGGCCTGGGAGAGCTGCGCGGCCCTCCGCAGGCCTCCCGGGAGGCCACGCGCGAGCGCTGCCCCGCCACCCCACGGCTACTACTAGGGGGGGGAACGTGGGGCTCACTTCGCTCGGGAAGAGGTCCCGCACGAAGTGAGCCACACTGCCTCCCTCAGAGATCGTGGGGTGGTGGGCCAGGGTTCGCAGCATGTGGCCTCCTTATGTATGTTTTCGCTGCCATGCCCGCTGACAAAAACAGCAGGAGCGGGCGTAGCCTGAGGCGCGCCGATCCGTCCGAAGAGGCGCTGGTGCGAGAGCTCTGCCAGAGGGAGGACCTCGTCACGATCGAGCAGCGGGCTGGGGCAACAGAAGGAGGAGGACGATGACGACGACGACGACGACGACGACGACGAGTGCGAGGAGGATTATTGCTGAGCTGCCCCGATACGCACCACGCGACACGCAGCGTACTGACATGGAGCTCAACGCGTAGACTGAACACCTAAGGTCTGACGCGATACGTTCGCCCAACCGTGGGCCAATACGCTGAGCCAACACGCAGCGTCTTCACACTTTGAACACGGCACGGGCTGCGTTTCAATACGGGCGTCTCAGGGCAGCGAAGGATCATTGTGGATTGGGGCTGCCCTGAGCACAGAATGCCGAATGTCCCGCAGATCCAGGCCTCGTTGGGGTCCCCGTCGCAGGCGAGTCCCACGTGGGTGTTCCTGTCCCAGCCGCAGTGCTCCTCGGTGAAGAGAGATAGGAGGAGGAGGAGGAAGAGGAGGAGGAGGAGGAGGAAGAGGAGGAGGAAAGAGAAGAGGAAGAGGAAAAGGAGGAGAGGAGGAGGAGGAGGTAGAGGGTTGAGGCCGTAGGGGAGGAGGGGGGGGGGGAGAGGGGGGGAGGGGGAGGAGGAGGGAGGAGGGGAGGGGGGGGGGACGGTTGGAGATGGGGTCTTGAGGGGGGGGGTTGGGCATAGGGGGGGTGGCTTTATCCCCTCTCGCCTCCCTGCCCCTCTCCCCCTCTCCTCCCTTCCCCCCCTCTCCATCACCACCACCACCTTCTCCTCCTGCTCCTCCTCCTCCTCCTCCTCCTTCTCCTCCTCCTCGGGAGGTGGAGGAGGAGGTGCACGGGGGGAGGAGAGGTGGAGGACGGGGATGGCGTTACTGTCCGTGCTGTAGCGGTACTCTGGAGCAGACGCGAGCACCCCGCCCCTTCTCCCAGGAAGGAGGGGGGCGATCGAACTACGAGTGGCGTACAACATCGCACCACAAGAGGATGCCACTCACGCCGCGCGGGCGCTGCCTGCTGGGTCTTTCGGCGAACCTTCCTGTGGGGCCACGAAGCGTGTGAGGACGCGCCGAAGTGGGAGGGGAGCCGCCGTGCGGACCCTCCTCCTGGGGCCGTCGGTGGAGCTCCTCCTGGGGCCACGGGGCGCGTGAGGGGTGTGCCGAAGTGGAGCATGGCCGCCATGCGCCCCTCCGCCCTGCCTTCCTGCACCACCCCCCGTGCACCTCCTCCAGGGGCCGTCGGTGGAGCTCCTCCTGGGGCCACGAGGCGCGTGATGGGTGTGCCGAGGTGGAGCATGGCCGCCATGCGCCCCTCCGCCCTGCCTTCCTGCACCACCCCCCTTCCATGGGGCCCCCAGACGGCCCGGGGAGCCCTCAGAGAGGCAGAGGAGCTCTGAGCTGCAAAGCATTTGGAAGCGGAGTGTGTGTTCTGCTTCTTGCCGTGGACCAGACCAGATGAATTCCGACCGGCCACTGAAGAACCCCATAGGGGCCCCAGCGGGCTCAGGAGAGCTACAAGCCGGCCCAAGAAGACGTCAACACAGCTTGGACATGCCCAAGTACGCCCCATGCGAGAGGGCCACCAGGACGGCCCGAGATGATTTCAGGACGGGCCCTGGCGAGTCGCAGGGCAAGCTAAGAGGTCACCTAGACGGCCCAACAGGGCTCCAGTCAGCCCCAAAGATGACTGTCCAAAGAGCTTCCATACAGCTCCATCGAGGGCAACACTGGCGAGGGGCCCAACTCTATGCAGCTGCGTGTAGCGCAGGGCGTGGCCCTGTCTTCATACACTGCGCGCCGCAGTAGGCTGCGGACGGGGGGCTGCAGAGCAAGCGCCTTTGGAACACGGACCGTGTGGGGGGGAGTCTCGAGAGGGGCGGCAGGAAGTAGTGCGGACGCGCCCACTGGGGCCGTAAAAACAACTCCCTGCGGACACGGTCCATGTGATCAGTGAGCCGGAGCGGGCTGGGGGGACGCTATGTGAACTTGCGCACTGGTGCCGTCGGGGGGGGGCGCCCTGTGGGGCATAAGCCGTGCGAGGGGTGTGCCCACATAGGCGAGGGGACGCTTCGCGAACTTGCGCAGGAGGGCAGTCGGTGGAGCTCCTTGTGAAGCACGCTCCGTTTGGGGGGGGGGGCCGCTGGTCGGGGGACGCCCAACTTACGCACTGGTGACACAAGTGGCATTTCCTGTGGGGTGCGATTCGTGTGCGGGAGGAGCCCTTGCGCACTGGTAACGTAGCGGGAGCGTCCCGTGGGGTGCGATCCGTGTGCGGATTGTGCCGAAACGGGGGGGGGGCATGCGAACTTGCGCACTGGTGCTGAGGAGGAGCTTCATGTGGGGCGCGATTCATGTCAGGGGTGTGCCCAGGATTCGCGCTGGGACGCTGTACGAACTGGCGCACTCGGGCCATCGTCAGAGCTGTTTACGGGCGTCCATCCGTTTGAGGGGTGTGAGCAAATCGGCGCCAGGACGCAATGCAAACTTGCGCGCTGAAGACGTAGATGGGGCGTCCTGTATGGCGCGATCCGTCTACGGGGTGTGCCACACTGGGTTAGGGAATGCTATGGGAACATGCGAACAATCGCCGTGAATGGAGCCGCTGGTGTCGCGCGATCCATTCCAGGCGTGTGCCGAAAATGCGCGCGGGCACGCTATGCGAACCTGAGCACGAAGGCCGTCGGTGGAATCGCCCTGTGGGGCACGCCCCGCTCGAAAGATATGTGCCGATCTGGGCGGGGGGGCGCAATGCGAACCTGCGCGCACTGGCGCCGTAAGTGGAACTTCCTGTGGGGCGTGATCCGTGTGAGACGGGTGCCCAACATGGCGGGGATGCCCAGTGCCCAACAGCACAGGAGGGAAGGAACAGCACAGGTGGCTTAAGATGATGATGGCAATGATGACAATGACGACGACGATGATGGCGATGATGCTGATGCTGATGATGCTGCTGCTGATGATGATGACGACGACGATGCTGATGCAGCTGATGATGCTGATGATGAAGATGATGAAGATGATGGTGATGGTGATGATGGTGCTGCTGATGAACATGCCGGTGATGGTGATGATGATGCTGCTGATGCTGATGCTGGTGCAGTTGTTGTTGGTGATGCTGTTTCTGGTGTTGCTGCTTTTGATGATGCTGATGGTGATCCTGCTGCTGTTGATGCTGCTGCTGATGATAAAGATGATGATGATGATGTTGATGATGGCGATGATGATGGTCGACCGTATGCTGGCGTTGTTCGTCCACAGCTGCCTACTTGAACGTAGCGCGACGCGCGGCAGCTAGGGCACCACTGAGCAGCTCTGCGCGGAGCGGCTGACCGAAAGCGCTGGACGCCTTGGCCTTGTGGTAATTATGGAAAGCTAGAAAGCACAGCGAAAGAGCTGATGCACGGCTCACCGCACAGTTGGCGGCATTGTACTCATTGGGGACCGCGAGGCCCAACAGGTGAATGAGGGAAGACGGAAAGAAGAGGAGACGACGCAAGACGGGACAGATGAGGTAGTGAGAAATCGCATCGGCCTCGCCGAGACAGCCGAGCAGGCAGGAAGAGGAGCCACGCACATGCATGCGGCACGAGGTGGTCCAGCCTCCCGCGAGCGTCTTAAGAACGGACCATTGCCGCGCTGGGCGAAAGGCGCGCAGTCGCGAGACACTGCCCCCGCCGCTCCCCGACCGAACCCTCGATCAACTGCAGCAGGCCCCAAGCGCGCAGGCGCTTGGCGATGGTGCAATGGAATTCTGCGGGGAAGAGAGAGCGTCGGAGCGAGGGGTGGAACATCCTTTGCACCTTCGCCTTGCGTCCTATGGCCTGGGCATTGCTCAGCTCTTCGCGCGCAGCCACCGCTGCGGCATGCCATTGCGCAACAGAGACACCAGCACCAGGGGCGCGCTCAGCCATGGCGTGGAAAGCTGCACAATGCCCTGCCGAATCTGCCAGCAAGGAGCACTCCATTCGCCGCGCAGCCAGGCCGCCAGCGGCAGGTCGTGGACCGCTTGCTCCGACCATGCATGAAAGTCACCGTGCCAATCTACTAATGCGCGGCGCGCGCAGCGCCAGAGGCTGGACAGGCTGAGCAGCTGAACAAAGCGGGCGCAAAGAGAACGTGATCTCTGAAAGCAAACAGATCGGCCATACGAAACGTGCTAGGCGGCAAACGAGGAACTTTGTGCAGGGCGAACTTCTCTTTGTGCAGAACCCACCGCGGGATTGGGTAGAGCTGGGCGAGATAGCTGAGCACAGATAGAGCAGTACTATTGTACAGCAGCACACTTACGCTTGTGGGACTGTTCACCGACGGAATCTCACAAACTCGAGACCACCACTTGCGCGCAGCGTCCGCCCAGACAGCGTTCTCTGTCGCACCAGGGCCGAACTGCACCCAGATCCTTGGTGTGGGAAGCAATGGCTATGCCTGCCCACGACGGAATATACTGAGTTAAAAAATGCACGCAAGTGACAAACCACCTCAGGCGTGAGCTCCGTCCAAAGCGGCACAAGAACAGCTTTCTTGGTCTGGAGGCGTAGGTGAGCCAAACGCTCAGCCTCGTTAAACACTGGAAACGCTCGCGGCAGATCAGCCAGTCGCGGCTGGACTAAGCCAGCATCGTCGGCACATCCTCCCACCGCCCCACGACAGTCACCCAACGACGACGGCGAGACCTCCCCCACTAACCGGCGCAGCAATTTGTCCATGGCAATGGCCCAGACAGAGCCAGAGAGCGGACATCCTTGCATCACCCCAGACTGGAGATAAAACATAAACTGCTGCTCACCATTGACAGCAGCGAAACTTCGGGGTGAATAATAGAAAGAAGACAGCAGGTTGCGGAACCCCTCGGGTAGACCAAACCGCGCAAGCACACCCCACAGCCAGTCATGGCCCAGCGAGGGAAATGCGGGTGCAATGTCGAAAGCAACAAAGACTGGACAATCCTGAGCAGCCGCCTCGCGAATGCTCGCTCGTCTCGCGGCGGTGTCGAGGCGCGTGAGATTACTCAAAACTGCGACGTGGCACAATACCTTGCTGGACTTCATGCGCGCGCTCCTGTACGAACTTCTTAAGTCTGTGATTAGCGGCCGCTGCGAGTATCTGAGAGTCCGTGTCGCGCAGCGACAGGGGGCGGACTTGCGAGGGTTGCCGTATGCGTTCATTCGCATCCAGCGGCTCTGAGCCCTCGGGCAAAAACGCAAGAATGTAATCATTCAGAGAGCACGGAGCGAAGTGACCTGCCATCAAGTGTTTCAGGAGCCCGTGGAGCACGCGGAGCGACTCGACGGAGACCATCCAAGCCTTGTAGGGGAGCCTATCCCGACCAGGGGCACTGTGACGAATGCGCTTGGGAGTCTCCTGGAGGTCCTCGAAGCTCGGGACGGGGATGTCGGCCATCACAATGAGGAGCATCTCTGGGGCGGTCTGGCGGCAGGACGTCGAGCTGGCGGCGCTG